CCTCTGAGCTAAGGCAAAAGTCCTCATCTCTTTTGAGGGAAATCCAAACGTCTCAATCTTCCTCAGAGAATCCCAGATTTGCTTTCATGACCCTTCAATTGGCCCCAAGTCTATTAGGGCCAGCAAACGGAATTGAAAACACTTGAATAAACCAGCAGAGTAACAAAAACGACAGAAACGATGTAAAAGAGGGCAATTTATCCTACGGCGAGCTTTTGAAAAGCAGTGAATGCCCAGCGCCATTTTTCCTCATCAAAAATCGACTCTCTTTATAACACTCCCAGCTCTTTTACGTAGATTCAAGAACTATTGTTGACTGAATCACCTTCACAAAAGCGGCTGACAGAAAGCGAGGCGAGGAAATGAACAATGCGCGAAAGGAGGACTCCTCCACATTCGACGTAAATAACGAGAAAATAATAATGAGAGGAAGAACCAAGAGATGACAACAGTTAAGGAGAATCGTATACAACATGGGGTAAGAGACTGACTAAATAGTAATCATCTGTCATGCTCAAGCATGACTATTAAGTGGATTATAGAACTTCACGAATAGTTCCAGTCCAACACATGATTACCGCCCAGAATACAATCCCCACAAGCTGTTCCAGAAACCATGCGGCACCACGGACAAATTCCCATCTGACATGCTCTGGTTCGTGACAGATGATTGCCATTTATTTGATCCCCTCCAGAGACAGTAGAAATGTTTTGAAGCAACACTTGTCCAATCATGATGAAAAGTGTGACTTAATTTTGCGGAGGGAAGTCCAATCTGCTGACCAAGGGGATCAAAAGACCAACCCGGCCATTCGCACTCTTCATATCCTGGAGATGTGGAAGGCGTAATTGCACACTTCACATGAATTCCGATTTGATAAGATATTGGCCAGTTGAGACAATTGAAATCATGCCTCTTCCAGCACAATATACGACGACAGCTCTCTTAAATGGAAATATCTCACGGAATTCCACTCAGTGTTCAAATCAAGTACATGGACACGCCCAGCCCATTTCCGGGATATGGAGTGCTATGAGGTGAACAACGTTGTACGCAACGCGGGACTCTGAGCATAAAGGCAAGTGGCGTGATAGGTCCCCAGACGAGTACGATTAATTGATACATCTAGCAGAACAGAGTTCGTGAGCAAACGCTGCGTGGGACCTTTCCCAAGGAAGATGCCCTTATAGCGCCCTATCAAGCTGCAACATACCGACCCGACGCCCACCGCATCGCCCGCCCACAAGTGTCCGACCGATGCTAATGCTCGTACCCCTTCATTTGCGAAGTACGAAGCGAAGGGATTGGTATAAAGCAGCCGCGGTGCTGCATGAACTTATGAGTACATACATGAACCGTATCCACCGTAGTGGTTGTTGGCACGATGCCAGCGGGAACTCGTCCGAAATTGCTTTCTGAGTCGTGTAGAACAAAGGCTTTTTGCAGGTTTTTTGACCGTTTCACTTCGCTTTTTCGCCATTTTCCCACTATACAGCACCCCTGCTACCATTTTAGACCGAGCGCTAAATTATCGTCTTATGATCAGGGATACAGTCTATTCGGACTGCTGGCTGAGCAGTGCCAGAAAAGGAGCTCCTTCCTCTCCGTCATCTTCAGCGTGGGGAAAAGGAGTCTGTGGAGAATCGTGGAGACTGCAGAAAAAGAAAGGGGTGCCAGTGGCATCATTCCCAAGATCCGGCAGCCCTGAACGTTTCCACTAGCAGGTTCCGGACCGCGTGACACATTGCGTGCCATACATTCCTCTTTCTGCGCTGTTTCATATGGTCCATTTGGCATCTATTTCATGTTCTAATTTCACTAGAACACGCTTTGGAGACGGAATAGACATACCTCATACGAAAGTGAGGAAAAACCGACGAAACTACTGATCATCGATGTAAGAAGAAACGGAATAATGCGGAGATCCTCGCAAAACGGCGATCCGCAATGTGGTGAATGGCGATGGAAATTCACCTATGAGGACCCTTCAAAGTATTCTCGAGATCGGGGTAATTTAGCAGTGGCGAAGGACTTTAAATCACCTGAGGGTATAAATACAAAATTTCATTTGGTATCATCAATGCTGTTCTAGTTATCCTTGTAAAAGAAGACCAGAGTGACTAACGTGAGAATGTTGCGAAAATGATTCGTGCTGTTCGAAAAATACTGAGAAAATGGAAAGAAAATTGAGAAAATGATTAGTGATTACTTCTTGTTCCCCAACCTAAAAAAGATTCGTGGAAAGCGTTTTTCTGACGATGAAGAGCTGAAGGCGGCAATTAACGCACATTTTGGAGACAAGGAGGATATTTTTAGGGGGTACTGAAAAGTTAGTTTCCCAAGCAAACAAGTGTATTCAGGTTATGGGGACTACATCGAAAAACAAATTTTATTCCGAGATTTCTGTCTTTTTCTTCACACCTACAGCGACTTTATAATGCCCCTTCCCCCTCGTGCAAAGCAATGGGAAGTGTAGAGGGTGAGCATCTTTATTCATTAGCGCATTATCATGAGAGATCTTGAACTCAATCATTGATCACAAAATTCCATTGCTTCTTTCGAGGCTTCTCGTAGGAGTCCAGAAAGTTCTCCTGTTAATTTGCCGATTTGCACTCACAGCTGACACCAGAAAGCGATGAAATTCCCCAATAATGGTTTCTTTTAGGGGCTTAAGGATGACAACATATGTTTACATAAGAACACAAAAACAAAATGCTCGCACGTCGATATGAATGACAGGAAGCGGCACAGATATAAGGGGAGAAATATGACTGCATTGAGTGGTAGTATTTCGGGTCTTTAATATCTTGATTGGATACCTGCAAAGGATAGCGAGTCTGACTCACGGCCTCAGCAGAAGCTCCAGAAACCAGCTAACAAAGGCATCGACTGAGGCTACATAGTCTAGGGAAGGGCACGTCTCACGTTCTGGATCCCAGTCACAGGAGAGAGGGGTGGGTCATTCTGTCTTCAAGAACACTTTCGAT